TTGTTTTAAATGAAGATTTTTTATAGGTACCTCTTTTAAATGTTATGAACACAGTTCCATTTAAGACACATTGACAGAAAAGGTAACAATTATTTAAAAAATGTGCCCATTTATTTAGCTATTCCCAACGAAACACTTTTCAAAATGAATACGAACAAATATGGTTTTGAGGCATTATTGTATATTTACAGGAATTATGTTCTGGTAAAAAATGTTAAGCTAAATGCTACAATGCTTCATTTCACAGCAGCATGAAGGAACGGATCAATTTATGTTGTATTTGCAAAAGTAAATCGTTTACGATGTCTTGGTATACAGCTAGTGTCTATTTGAAGTAACATACATACATATACGTAAATAGATATAGATCTTAGTAATATAGAGCTTAGTAATATATCTATAAATACCCCCAAAACACAGTCCCCAAACATAGAGCTTACGTTTTAATTTTATTTTAGTGCATGTGTAATTTATGTAATATATATTTTTGGTTCTGGTTGAAAAACCTTAAACAAAGTGTATAAACCATCATATTGTTTTTTCAGATCATAAAAGAAAAGCAGTCAAAACAGGGATAAATCCTCTATAATGCATGTATATATATTTATTTCTTAAAATCTCCCTATTAACACAGAAAGGAGAGCTGACACAAATTGCACCCGAGTTTTCTTTTTATTTATTGCAGTGGTATCTTTAAACATCATGAGTTATCTTTAAAGAGTTAAAAATATGATCCGTTGGCGAGTACTGTCGTAACAAACAAGCAAAAGAGAAAATAAGAGCGACAGAAATAACCGCACACATAAAAACCAAACACTTTACAGTAAATCACACTACAGCAAAGGATAAAAGAGGCAGCAGCTCATTTTACAAAAGGATTTCAAGCTTAGATTCCTGCTTTTAAACCAGCAAATTAGTAAATGTTACAAAAAAAATTGCCTTTTAATGGCTCGAGTAAACAACTGCGGCTGATTTTAAATTTTTTTTTTTTTTTTTTACGAAGAGTCCCTGTATGATAATATTCAGGCTGATTATGTGCAAACATCGCCTGTGTGTTTAGGGCATTTTGCTCATTGCTTATTGAGAAAGGTTTAATTGTTCAATAGAGTTTCTCTAATAACCCTGTTGCACTAGAAGACATTTTATTATGTACACTATGTACAAACATGCATCGTTTACAGATATGCAGACCATCCGACTGTGCATGGTGTTGCTTGTGCTTGCATGGACGAACACTTGCACTGTACCTGCTTTCAGAGCTTCAATAAAAAAAAGATTTTGATCTGCAGAGATAAATGTTAGCAATTGTACTTTCAGGTGTTGAAAAGAAATGATTTAAATATGATAACAAGAATGTAAATTTATTTAACATTGCCCCTCACTTTCTTACTTTATGCAACATACAATTGTATTTGTGCAAAATTAATATTTTTGAACTAATTCATTTTTCAGACAGGGCTCACATGAAACAAACTGTAGAACACAAAAGAAAACAGAAAGGAGCAAAACCCCTTTTGTTTTCAAGTGCTTCAATGTAGTTCAACAATAATCACTTAACATGCCACTTACTACATAACTTCTGATCATCCACAGAAAAAAGCCAATCCTGATTAGCGGACACCAAAGTGTGAAAAGTAGCACCTCTGATTCAATGACTTTCCTTTTTTCAGAAGACACAAAACTAATAATAATAAAAAAAAGCCTGAGGCAAATACAGAGCAGTGGTGCCTTGGTGATGGTGCTGTGTTGATTTTTTGAGAAAGATGATAAGATTAAAAAAATCCCCTCAAAAGTAAAGAATTCTAAAAAAGAGAGCAAACATCAAAGTATTTTTTTCTTTTCCCAAGTCAAAAAACAAAACAAATCTTGATTTTAAATCCTTAAATCATGTTTGCAGAAACAGCCCTGTTATTTTACAATGATATTAAAACCTTTTTTTTTTAAATAGATGGGCATTCCACTGTGGAACCACTAGTGCCAGGAACCAACAGTCACAGGAACTATTATTGTTTCCACAGCACATAATGAGATAGGTTTTTTTTGCCACCAAATCCTTTCTGTTTGATAGGTAGGAAAGGACAGGAAAAGTGTTGGAAAAGTGTCACTGCACCTTTAAGCCCTGCTGCGTTGTCATGGTGATGGAGCTGCGCTGTATGTGTATGTGTAGAAACAAGCAAAAGTGGCAGCAGAAATCAAGAATTAACGGGAAACATTTTTAGGCTTCTGTTGTCAGAGATGGTGTGAACTGCAGCTGCTCCAGTGTTATTCTCTGTATCATCTAGGTGTTTTTGGAGCCTTTAATGTTTAAATCTACTTTACGTTTACTCCCTATTGCTGCTGTGTTTGCTCTAAAACAGATCATCCTGACCATGACTACACACTAGTGTCAATGCCTTAGGTCGCTGTCTTGTATCCGACTGATTAGATAGTCACTCAGAATAAAGAAGCTACAGCAGGACAGGTTAATGGAAAGTGGTGACACGACCTTCACAAACCAGAGGACGATTTTTTGGCAGGCAGTCGTCATAAGCCCTGTGCAGTGTTGGCCGATGTAATAAAAAAAAAAGGTTCAGCCTAAAAACACGACTGTCATAATGGATTCCAGATTCACTGACCTGAGTCCTTTGGATTCTTTAATGGCCTTTGACTCTTCTATATAACTCCTCCCTCTGCATTTATTGTATTTTATTTTTTAAATTCATACTACCTTAATCCATCATAATCAGGAATTGTCGCAGCATCTTCTTCTTTCTGAATTTTGACATTTTGTCTCTGTTTAAGCAGGTTTTCAAAGGATGTCCAAAAAAGTTGGGAAAAGTCAAAGTTGAGGAGAAAAAGTACAGTGTTTTGACAGGATTATTAACAGAATAGATTAGAACCGTGTCCATTTTCTCTCCCCTTCAGCTACGTAGCAAACTGCTGATAAAACGCCAGCTTGACTCTTTCAATGTGGTGGCACAGCTTAATAGCTGGTCCCAGCTTCAGGTCCATGCACTCCTGCACTGTCGG